TCCCTAACAATTCGCTATAAGGTAACTATATATTTACTAGCTAATTTATATATAATTCTGCTATATTTAATAATAGCTACTACCCTAGGTTAGTTATAATAATAATAGTATCTTTAGTAAGTTTATTACTATAACTATTATTATTATCTAGGATAAATTAAGGACGTTACTTAGTTAAGCCTTTTTATTTATTACTTACTATATAGTATAGCTTAACTAATATAGATTAGAAAACGTAAGGGCTATTAATATTAATAGTAAAGTCTTTACCTTAAGTAGTAAGCAGCTTATATAGGCTAGACTAACCTCTTTTTTTACGCTAGACGTAGACGTTACTGCCTAAAGGTAGATCCTTTATTATAGAGGTATCTAGGCTGTTATAGGTAGTAAGAGCCTTATTAATCTGCCTTATTACGTTATATTTATAAATATCTTTAGTTACCTTATAGATAGTAGTTATATATTAGATTATCTTAAGTAAAGAGGTAAAGTTAGTAGTTATATAAAGGTAAGCACTAAATACTAATAAGGTAAGCATAAGGCTATTTAGGCTAGTAGTATTATTAACTACTTTAGTAGCGCTTTAAAGTGTATATTTATAGTTAATAGATAGGCACTCCTTACTAATTATCTTATATACCTATTAGAGTATAGTGTAGTATCTTTTAACCTTCCTAACGCTATAATAAGGTTTAATAGGGATAATCTTAACTTTAACGCCTATTATATAGGCCTTATATAAAAATTTAGTTAAGATAAAGTTTTAGCCTATATTAGTAATAACCTAATCTAGAGGACCTTAGTAGACGTTAACCTAGTAGTAATAAAGTGCTTCTTATATAGTTTTTACTAAAATATTATAGAGGAAGCAGGCTGTATTAAAGGCAGTAGTAGTATTAACTATATAAAGTATAAGATTACTATTAAGGTATATTATATTAATAATAATTTTATAATTAAAGGAGTAGTTATTATATAAGGTAAATTAAAAATAAGAAGGTACCTTACTATAGATTTAGTAATAATAGTAGTACTTTATTAAGTGTTTAATTACCTTTATTTTAACCTTATAGCTAGCCTTATAAAGGATCTTATATAGCTAGTAAATTAATAAATAGCTAAATTATTATTAAAAGTAGTATAGTTTAATATTAGTTAGGTAATAACTTATAAGGCTTTACTTAGGCAGGCTAAGTAGTATCTATAGGTAGCCTTATTTTTATATAACTAGTACTATAATGTTACCTTATTAAAGGGTATTAGAGCAGGGTAGGGCAATTAGCCTAGAGTAAGGTAGTATGCAGGCTAATTAGAAGATCCTAATCCTAATTAAGTACAGAGATATAAGCTAGCGTTAATAGATTCAGAGATAGACATGCAGAATTTATCCTTTATACTTATACCTACCTTCTAATTAAACTAGAGCCTCTCTATAATTTACCTTTAATTATAATAACATAAGACAATTAGGAGTAATTACCTACCTAATTAGGGCATAATTATACTTAATCCTATAGTTTAATACTTATAATTAACGTTAATTCTAGACAGATTAAGATAATTTATGCACTAATTAGTAAGGAATCTTATGTTACTTTTAGTAGTTATAGTGTTCTATATAGTCACTACACTACAAGAGTCCCTTATACCCTATACGCTTTTAGTATTTATAAGGTTATTAAATTAAATTAATAGCTAATCTATATTAGCTAAGTAAAGTAAGAAAGGTGTGTTAGTAGGTATTATATAAAAAGTAATATACCTAAAGGAAGTCTTTACTATAATAGTGCCTTATAAAGTAATAGTATTACTATTACTAAATCTAATCTTTACTTTATCTATAGCTATAGTGTTAATAGTTATAAATAGTTAAATTTACTATAGTGTAATAGCTTATAAGTAGCCTATAGTTAAATAACTTACTATACCTATATCTAGTAAAATATCTTAAAAGGTAGCTAATAAGTAATAATCTAGTATAAAGGTACTAGGTAACTTAGTAGAGGTGCTATTAGGGTTAATTCTTATTAATTAGTAATAAATAGCTTAGTTAGTAAGGTTAGTAGTAAGTGTATTACTATTTACTTTAGTACTACTAAGAAATATAGTTAAAGTATAAAACATACTATTATTTTACTCTTTATTACTACTAATAATAACGTAGGCCCCTTAAAGATACTATTAAAGATCCTTATTATTATTATTATCTTTATCTTCTTCTTTTTATAGTGTTATGCCTTTATAAGTAGTAAGGAAGGCGCTATATATAGTAGCTAAGATATCCTTTATATATTAATTACCTTTAAATTACTAGTACGCTTTATATCTTTTATTAGTAGTGTGTTTTATTAACTAGTAGCTAGGCTTATAGTAAATATAGTATTTCTTACTATTATAGCTACTACTATTACTACTATTATTATTATTATAGTAATAGTTACTACTACTACTATAGTTACTACTAAACTATTAATTATAGCCTTAGCCTTAGTAGGTATAGTCTACTTAATATTAATTATTAAGTAATAAGAGTAAAGATTTAATAAAGTACTAGCTATAGTAAGAATATCTTATAGTAGTACTAATTAATAATTATAATTAACTATATACTCCTTTTAATATTATAACTAAAGTATATAAGTAAAGGTTACACTTAGGAACTCTAGAGTAGGTATTTAGTAGCTAACTTCTTAACACTTTATTATTTTAGTAAGATAAAGAAAAAGCTTATTAAATAAGAGTAAGTTTTATAATAAGCTCCTTAAGGGCTTAGATCTTAGTTATTATAGGATTATTATATATAACTTAAGGTAGTATTATCTCTTACTATTTAAATAAGTAAGTTTATATTTATTCTTATATCTTAAAGTAGTTATAAATTTAGTTAACTATCTTATTAAAATCTTAAATACTATTACTATAGATATAGTTAATATAAAATAAAAATACCTTACCTTTTAATATAATAAAAAAAGTAGGACTAAGCTAGTGTTATTTAATCTTAACTTTACTATAATTATCTTAAAAGATACTTAACTTAAGATTAAGAACGTTATATAACTTATTACTATACTTAGTTTTATTTATTAGTAGCTTTATAAGATTAGTTAGTTAATAGAGGTGTAGTTAAGAGGAAGGGATAAGTATAAATTTAGATCTATATAGTAGCTAACGTTATAACTTATTATAGCCTTATAATAGAAATCTCTATATAGTGCCCTAAGGTAGGAGGTTAGCAGTAGGCTTAAGGTTATTTAATAGGTTAAATAGTATATCTTACTAAGGATTTACCTTATTTATTATAATAAGCTAACTACCTAATTACTTACTATACTAGCTATAATAAGGATAGTAAGTAAGGTAAGAGGTCCTAAGGTTACGTAATAAGGTATTAATAAATAAAGTGCTTATATTACCTCTAAGTGCTAAATTTAGATTAGTAAGTGCTTATTAGATATTATCTTATTATAAAAGTAAAGTTAGGCTATTTTACTTCTATTTTAGCTAGTAATAATCTAACGTTATTAAATAAGTTAAGGTAAATAAGGTTACCTACCTTTATAATATAGTATTAGCTATTATTTATAATAATATTAAAAAAGTAGTAAATAAGGCCTATTTAATTATTAACCTTTCTTTAGGTAAAATATACTAACTAGTAATATTATTAATAAAGTTAGGAATTTTTATTTATAAGTTAAAGATAGGCTACTTAAAGTAGGTAAAAGTCATATCTTCTTTAGTCTATATATAAAAATTAGTATAAAGAAGGTCTACTAATTTAGGTGTAATCCTTCTTTTTACTATACTAATAAAGACTCTGTTATTAATAAGGTAATTATAAAATATTAATAGTGCCTTAGTACCTATAGTGTTAAAAGTAGTAGTAGTCTAATCTATAAAGTCTAATTAGAAAGCGCTAAGGAGGTAATAGCTATAGAGGTTACTATCTAACTATATAGTAATTATATATATTATATATAATCTAACTTTTTAGGGGTCTATCTTATTAAGATTAAAGTTAATATAGTTACTTTATATTAATAAGTTAATATAGTAAATAAATATAAGTAGAAGAAGGAGAGGTTATAAGAGGTATAATAATAATAATAATAAGTATAAGTAATAAGTATTTACTATTAGTTAATTTAATAGCCTTACTATTACTAGCAGTAGCTCTTTATTTTTCCCTTTTTTACTTATTATTAATAGGAAGTTAGTTAAGATAAAGTAAGGAAGTAAGGAAAATTATAATAGTAATAATAATAATAAGGGTTAATTTTATAGAGGACTATTTACTAATAGGCTAGTTAATCCTCTCTACTTTATATAAAAGAAACCTTACTAATCTGTTATTAGTAGTAATCTTATAATTAATTACATACTAATTAGTGTTAGTTAATTATAGAAGAGGGATATCCTATATTACTTTATAGATTATAACTATAGGAATTAGTTATTACTTATTATATTAGTTGTTAAGTAAATCTAGACTTTTAGGTTAGTATACCCTAGTGGTGAGGTAGATACTGCTAAGGGAGGCGGTATGTTACGTAAATGTCACGTGACCACCTCCCCTGGAGCGTTCTCACCGTATACTAACACTTATAATACTATTAACATTAATATGTTGAACTCTAACGTTATTAACAGCCGTATCCTAAGCATAGTTTAGGGCTCTATTGGCCTTGTCTCTGTGAAAGAGGCTACTAAAAAGCTGGTCACAAAGTCTAGTGACCTCCTGGGTCAAATGATGGGTGAAGACAAGATGTTAGGTCAAGCTTCTGTGACCCCAGTTACAGGCAATTAACAAGTACTAGGCAGTAATAATACGTTAATGAGCACTTTTATTCGAAGCTCCTGTTCCTACTAGCCCTCTTTCTCTATAAACCACCTTTTTCTATCAGCTCTTTAATTGCTGTTCTTTATAGATTCTATTACTGGCCTATATACGTAGCCTCATACTGCCCTCTAATATTTTGATTCAAAAGACCAAGACATTAGCAGGTCGCCTCCTTTGCCCCATACTTATTACAAGCCTACAGCTATTAGTTGTGACTATATTGAGTTGTATATTAGTTTACGTACCGCTTTCCAATTCGCCAGGGATAACCCCGTGGCTCCGTGACAAACCAATCCGCCACTGCCCGAGACAGGTTCATACCCCCAATGCTGACAAGCATATCTAGTAGCGTCATCACTTCTTAGTATGACTGAATGATAAGGACGTTTGTTGCTAACAGCCGTGTTGTAACAACTAATACTGTTAGTTAAGCTTAATGAAAGAACGTTATTATTAACATACTAGCAAGTAGCCTGAACGCTAGTAACAGCATAAACAGCAGCTGTAAGTACGGAGAGCTTCATTGTTAGAGTAGTTTAAAGGGGAAGAGTTAGCTTTAAAGCAGTATAGATAGATTTAAGTAGGGGAGTTGGCTTCGAAGTAGTAAAGATGGCTTTGAAGTAGTAGATATAGAATAAAGTAGAGATAACAGGAACACTTGACAAGTATTTATATAACTACTGTCCCTACTACTCTTTTAAATAACTCTTCTTATGTATCATAAAGTGGAGAAGAGTACAGTAATAAAGAATTAATAGCTAATATATATCTATAAGCTTAAGTGATGCAACATATTACCTTGTAGTTGGCAGCGGAGATATCCGGCAAGCGGCTGAGGTAACCTAGCAGGCGGTTATCCCGGCCGGTAATGAGGCTGCGCCACTACCGGCTCCACAGTGTAATCCCAGCTGTTAATAGCGTAGTGGTACCTTCGGTTATCCCGGCCGGTAAAATCTGTGGCTGCGCCACTGCCGGCTCCACAGTGTAATGCTAGTCGTTAATAGCGTAGCGGTACCTTCGGTTATCGCGGCTAGTAAAATCTGAGGCTGCGCCACTGCCGGCTCCACAGTGTAATCCCAGCCGTTAATAGCGCCGCGCTACCTTACTGTAATCCTGGCGTGCGTTGCCTATTCCATTGAGTGCCAGGTGACCTCACATATCCTCTGACCAATAAGAGTACCACAATCCAGGCTAACTGTCCGATAGCTATCAGTAATTACTTGTAGAGACCCATTTTTGGGTTATGTGAGGTCACTTGGCACTCAATGGGATAGTAAGGCCCCGACTTAGTCCCTGTGCATTCCCCAAAAGCACCCCCCAAAGACATCCGCAAAGAGAATCCTTAAAAGTAAGTTTAGGCTAGCAATATAGAACCATCGACTATTGCGGTCCTAGGTGAGATGGTTGCGGCACGTTTCAGCGCGAAGAGGACGAGAAAAAACATTATTTCGGACACCGGCGGATCCTAACGTGTCTTCGAGCGCCATACCGTGTGGCCACGTAAGTGTTCATGGGAATTGTGATATGTACCTCAGGGTTCTGCCTCATGTTACTGATGTGATTTTCTCCTGGCGATATGATTCTTTATCAACCTGCTGCGAGCCACATGAAATTGATAACCTGTCGCGGCAGGGACAGATCCCGCAGCAGTGAGAGATGACGCCCTCTTGTCATGAAGCCGGCTAACAGTGGCAAACAGCGGCTTCGTCGATTTTTGGAGTAATATAGGTACTATAGGGGATTCAAGGGCCTACTGCTAGCCCCTAGGTGTCCTATCTAGGAATAGCCTTATGTAAAAGGAAAGGACGTAGACAGGCTGCTGAGGCTGTAATATAACTCTTTATATCAAGGGAGATTGCTAGTACTTTTCGTACACCACCAATTCAAAAGATAATAAAGTTACAATAACCCTGTTATTCGGCTTATTTAACCTAAGAGCCCTTATTAGCTCTACCCCGCTCTTGGCACATTTGAAGTTGCTCTGCAGTCGATAGTATAAGGGCTACCTCCACGACTTCAGCCGCCGCAACTATCATCGTCTGAGTCACATCGCGCATGGACAGGACCACCAAAACCACCACTAATAAGGCCGGAAGGCGAATTCCCTATAGCCTGGCGAACGACAAGATCAGAAGACTCGACCTCGACCGTAGGTATTTTGTCGCTCTGCTCCGTATCGTTGCTTGGTTCCTCAGCAAGGAGGGACTTGCCGGAAAGTTGAGTGACATCGCGCTTTTCGATAGCACCGACGACGCCGGCGTCGTCGGTAGATAGGGGCATTGCCTTGGCAGTGGCGGCAAAGAAGGCAGCCGCGGCAATCTGGAGGCCTGGGAGTGTGAGATGCAAGGTTTTCATGATGAAGGTTGCTTAAAGGTAGATCACAAAGAAGTAGAAGTCGTAATAAAAGAAGCTATTAAGCAGTTAGTATAAGCATTAGATAAGAAGGGACAGCAGACAGGCAACCTACCAAATAAACACCTGGCTGTATAGCTTTTCCCTGGAGATGTAGAAGAAGTATGAGTGTATCAGTGATAATCATATTAGTATGTAGATGTGCTGCGTAAGGAGGAACTATTTATCGTCTGACCTAGATATCTGTCTCCTTGAGGGCCTAGCGATGTGTAATTCAAGGAGGGCTAGTTCTAGCACTACTAAAACATGACTAGCGCTCCTAGGGCAATCAAACACTACTTACTCTGCCTTAAAACTATATAGTAAAATACTTAATATTATTACTAATAGCATAATGTAGTCTACTAATGCCCTAGTGCCGCTTTGTGTAGGGTAGCGGGGCTAAGTCTTTTGCGCCTATAATGTTACCCCCCCACAGCTCATATCGTAATAGAGGGTGAATATTTAGTAAAAGTAAGTTCCTGTAGTCAGGGGTTAAATATTATTTACCTTAAAGGAGTAAAAGCTTTAGTCTAGTACTATATCATATTTAAGTCAGGCTAGGAGAATCCCCTTTTGATAGTACTATTAGCAATACGCTAAAGTTGTAATAGAAGTAATATTTATTAGTGTAACATGATCTGCTGTTGACCGGCGTCGCCGATGACATATGTCATTCACCTCAGGCACTTGGTGTCTGGGATCTTTATAATGGGTGTAATGACTAATGCACTAGTTTTAGTTGGGTTCTTAAATAAATTTATCCTAGCCTGTCTCGTGAGCCGGACCAATCAAAAGCACCGAAACTGACTAAGAGTCTTATAGCTAGGATTTACCTAGCAAACAGGTTCGGGCCGATTTTCAGAATACATAACACAAAACAAGAAATGTAATACGTAAGAGACTATCAAACTATTGAAATATTCTACTATTACCTGACATGATTTAAACAGACCGGCAAAAGCACGTAGAGTGGTCCTACTCAATGAATACTACGCTTTCTGGCATGTATAGTAAATGATAGGCAGTAATTAATGCAACTAGTAACTTTACTTATCTTTAAACTCTAGTTAGGCTGGATAGTAAATTGGACGGCACTATAGCTAGGTTAGTTATGAAGTGTTTTGCACAAGGGTTAGGCATTAAAGGAATCTCAAAGTTCCTCTACTACCCTGCATGACTCAATATTGTCTTTAGACCCATGCCCTAGTGTACTGCGTAACACCTTATGACTTAGTATTCCTAACGTAAAAGGTAAAAGAGAGATATATAGTTGGTCAACTCTGCCTTGTCAACGCAATAGTCCGCAGTCTCTTTTACTCTCCGAACAGTGTAGACGGCTAGAAAACGCTCTTTTGACATTATTTGACTATATTGGAGAAAGCTTCGACAGACAAAAAACGAACAGAGGCAGGATGCGCCGTATCCCCGTGCAGAAACGAAAAAATGCGACGCGACTCGTGCAGAGCCAGGGTCTGGTTTACGGCCACCTCAGTTCATACCGCACCACAGAGCCGTACTGGCCAGATAACCGATACTACTCGTTCACCCTTGAGGAAATAACACTGCTCGAGAACGCCGCCAAGGACGTCTTTGCAATGTGCTGCGAGGCGGCCGACTACCTCGTCGAGCACTCGGACATTATTACCGAGAAGATGGGAGTTCCCGCCTTCGCGTTACAGCAGATCATGGAATCATGGGACCGTGAATCTCCCTGGGGCAGCATCTACGGGCGTTTTGATGTTTGTTTTGGGGGGCTAGATCATGCGGATTCAAGGCTACGGGTGCCAAAGTTCTACGAATTCAACGCGGATACACCAACATCGCTTGTCGAGGCCTGTTTGATCCAGTGGCTGTGGCTTGAACAAACTGGCTACGGGAATGACCAATTCAACAATATACATGAGGCACTGATTGAAGGCTGGGGACGTAATCTCACGCTTATTGAGAAAAAGCTCGGCCATAAACCTACGGTTCACTTTGCTTTCAGCAGCGGCAATCATTCAGGCGAAGATATGATGAACACTATGCTTCTATTGGAAACATGCCAACAAGCCGGCTGGGCTGCTAAGAAGCTGAATATGGAGGAGATATCTCTCTCCACGGAGGATGGACGCTTTTATGACATGGAGGGCCAGCACATTGACGTCATTTTCAAGCTCTATCCTTGGGAGTTCATGACAGGACAGGAGTTTGCGAAACCGTGCTTCAAGGATATGGACAATGTTGGCAAGCGTGATGAGGAGGGCAACTATATCGGTGGAACTATCTGGATCGAGGCACCTTATAAAATGCTGTGGAGTAACAAGTCACTGTTTGCAATCCTGTGGGAGCTTTTCAAGGACGACCCGCGGTCAAAGTGGCTACTTCCGACGTACTTCGATAACGAAGCACCGACATCACTAACGAGCTTTGCCCGAAAGCCAATATTTGCACGCGAGGGTGCTGACATCGTGTTGAAAGAGAAAGGCAAGGTGGTCCAGGACTCATCGGTGGGATGGTATGGAGCAGAGGGGTATGTGATACAGGAGCTCGCGTTGCTGCCAGAGTTCAAAGATATACAGGGAAAATCGCATTACCCTGTCCTTGGTCTCTGGATGGTGGATGGCGACTCGGTAGGAATGGGCATTCGCGAGGATGAGACGCCGGTCACTACCAACGAATCGGTATTTGTTCCACATTCCATTGAAGATGGGCCTGTTACCTATCAACGGCAAGAGATCCCTAGTGATGAGGAGATTGAACAGGTTTTCAGGATTAATAATCTTCATCACCGGTTTGACAAGGGGACGGGGGATATAGTTACCGACATTATAAATCTAGTAGTTTAGCAAGACATAGGAATAAAGTAAGATATAGTACACATGTACGCAGGTTGCTGTCAAAAGTGGTATATATGGCCTAAACTCTCACAGATGTGTAGCAGCCAAGGAGCTCTAGTTCTTTTACGCAGTTAACAGTTACTTCTTATTACTTAAAATCTTTTAATTTCTAACTATTTACTAAACAAGTAACACTCTAACTAAATTATATTTTGTTGCTTTTAAGGTTTAATATAAATTTAAGTTTCAGTTAGACAAGGATATATATAAAGACAATTTAACCTTATAGCAAGTAAAGGTATTAGTAAGTAAGTAATAAAAAGAATAATAAACTAAAGTATAGAGGGTAGCCTTGTTTATATCTTTTAGGATAACTAAGAGTTATTCTTAGCCTCTATCCTAATAATAAACCTAGCCTTACCTACCTTACTTGCTTATACCTAACCTTTAGTAGATATTTTATACTCTAACTTACTTTTCCTTATTAGGTGCCTTCTAAAAGTAGTACTACTAGGTAGGTAAAGTATTTATAACGTATCTCTAGCCTATTTAGGATTTAAACCTATAACGTAAAGCGCCTACTTTTTAGCACTCCCTATATTTTAACACCTTAAAAAGAAAGCTATTATTACTAATACTACTTTATTTAATTAACTATTTATAGCCTCTTAATACTATAATAACATAGGTTTTAGCCTTACTAAGTAACTCTAACTTACTAGGTTTATCTAGGTTATTTTTAGTATTACTAGCCTTAAGTTATACTTACTATATGTTCTTAACTACTATAAACTTTATACTTAGATTTATAGTAATAGTCCTTTTCTTTTTACTACTAGTGTTATTAAACTTAGACTAAAGAAGCTCTCTTTAGTACTAAGTAATAGCTAAGTTAAAGGACTAGTATTAAAAGCCTTTTGAAATTTTTCTAAAGAGCTAGTGTTATATAGTAATAGTTAAATTTACTTTACTAAATAATAATAGCTAGTTATTTAGCTTTCTTTTTCTCTTTAGTATAGACTAATTAATAGTATATACTTATTTCTTATAATTATAGGTATTCTAGCTACTATAGGCTATCTTAGCCCTCTTACTAGCTAGTGTTAATATCTTATTAGGTAGTAAGAATAGTACTATTATATTTAGTAATAAATAATAGCGTATTAAAAGCTTTATAATAGTAATAAATAATAACCTAGTGTATCTTTAACTACTTTTTATAATACTAGTAGTAAGCTTAGCCTAGTAAGCCTCTAAGTAGTATATAATAAAGTTTCTTTTACTAATAAAGTTAAATTATTTTACTATATAAGGTATTTAAGCTTTTTATAATAAGCTACTTTTATAAGACTAAAGACTACTTAGTTAATACTTAATAGTAAGGATTATAGTAGCTAATTAATTAATTATCTATATAACTATAGTAAAATTCTATAAGAAAATCTCTTTATTTCTTAGTTAAAAAGTCCTAAGCTATTCCTAGCTATATTATTAGTAGAATTCCTATTAAAGTAAGGTAATTTTACTACTTATTCCCTAGTAACTTACTATAAAATAACTATATATTTACTAGTAAATCTATATATACTTTTACTACAATTAATATACCTCTTTAGCACTAGTGGTATAATTAATCACTATAAAGCCTATACTAAATATCCTCTATATATAGTAAGAAAAAGTAAGGTAATAAGCTAGCTAATAAGAGAAGAGAAAAAGTAAGTAGATAACTACTACTAGCTATAATAACGCCTAATAATAATAATATTTATGTTAATAATAATACTTATATTAATAAAAGTTAGATATTATTTACTTTTATAAGTACATAACTATTAAATATAGTAGAATTATATATAGATTAGCTAGTAAATATATAGCTACCTTATAGTAAATTATTAAGGAATAGGTAGTTATTAAATTATAAAGATTATAATAGTTTTAAAGTTAATTCTATTATATATTATATAACTATAGTAAAATCCTATAGGAATAAGGAAAAAACCCTTATTTCTTAGTTAGGAAATCCCTAGCTAATCCTAGTAATATTATTAGTAAAGTTACCTTTAGAAGTAGGGCTAATTTACTACCTATTTCCTAATAATTTACTATAAGGTAGCTATACACTTACTAGCTAATTTATATATAATTTTACTATATTTAATACACCCCCTTAGTGCTAGTGAAGTTATTAATTACTATAAAGCCTATACTAAATATCTTTTATATATAGCCTATTTATTTATTAATTAAGCTATACTATTTTTATATTTTAATATATTTTAGAGCTTATAATAACTATTTTAAATATAATCTAGGTTATTATAAAGCTAGTCTTATTAAAGTTATAAATCTTTAACTTTATAATACTTTATTTTATAATTATGTTTACTATAAAAGAGAACTATATATTTATTATATTAATATCTTTATATAAGGCTTTCTTATATTTATATTTATAAGATAAATATATTTAAAGCTTTAGTGTTTATCTAATAAAGTTTAAGGCCTAGTGCTTACTAACTAGTAACGTATTATAGTTAGTAAGTAGTTAATTAGCTATTTCTTTAACACTACTAAGCTAAAAAGAAATTAATTAGTAATTTAAATTTAAAATAAACTTAACTGTCTTCCTCTTTTTAAGTTCTATTAAATTCTATAAGTTAGCTATAGTGTTACGTTATAAAGGTTTTCTATTAAGATAGTTATATAATATAAAGAAAGGTACTAAATAGATATAGAATATAGCCTAATACTAGTTTTATAAGGTCTTTAGATAGCTTTAATAGCTAAGAGTAATTAGGCTTTATAATTTAGTAAATATATTATTTTTAGTAGTTAGATATATAGTAAAAGGAAGAAAAGACTATAATTATAGTAGGCTAATTACTTTACTTATCTAACTAACTTACTTATTATATATATTACCTAGTATAAGAATTAATTTACTAGTAAAAGGTGCTTTTTTATAGTAAATAATAGTACTAGTAATTTAGCCTTAGTAGTTAATATTATTATTAAATGTGGCGGAATTACATATAAATTAGCTGGCAAATGCACGGTTGCCCTATAGCAAATTACTAGGGAATAGGCAGTAAATTAGCCCTACTTCTAGTAGTAACTCTACTAATAATATCGCTAGGATTAGCTAGGGATTTCCTAACTAAGAAATAGGGGGTTTTCTTTATTTTTATAGTAATTCACTATAAATACATAACATATAATAGAATTAATTAAGTAACTATTATAATCCTTATAATTTAATAATTAATAGTCTAATACGTACGTCTATAATAACTAACGTGCCTATCTACTAATTAAATACT